CTGCACAAGGGGATAAGAAACAACAACAACAAAGAGCATGGGCTCACGGAATCTGCACAAGAGGATAAGAAACAATGACAACAAAGAGCATGGGCTCATGGAATCTGCACAAGGGGATAAGAAACAACAACAACAAAGAGCATGGGCTCACGGAATCTGCACAAGAGGATAAGAAACAACAACAGCAAAGAGCATGGACTCATGGAATCTACACATGGGGATAAGAAACAAGGAGCTTACGCTGGGACATGAAGTAGGGAATGCGGAATATCCCGGAGAGGATCTGTTCCCGTAGGTTCTGTAGAGTGCTGCCATCAAAGGGCTGAACCCCACACACCAGCACGTAGAGCAGCACCCCCAGACTCTGCACCACCACACATACCTCTAGCTTCCCTCCTAAGGTTGTTACATCTGGGGGAAAGTTTGCCATTACTTTCTTTAATGGAGTCTTTTTAACAAAATATATTTATATAAGAGACAATTTGGATTATAGATTAGAAACATAAGGTAACAACACCACATCTCCAAATGAATAAAATTATGTGTGACATTTCAGTCTGAAGATGGTAACACACAATGCTGTTACCAAAACACCACTCATAATTTATTCATTTGGATACGGGGTTGTTACCTTAAATATATTTCTTAAGAATGATATTATATAGTATAGGATGATATTAGATATTTTTGGATTAGTGATTAAAAACATAAGGTAATAAGACCAAACCCAGATAAACAAATAGTGTGTGACATTTCAGTAACAGCGTTGTTACCAAAACATCACACACTATTTGTTCATTTGGATTTGGTGTTATTACCTTGTGTGTATATAGTAGGATAAAGTATTTTCATTAGAAGACAGTTACTGTGGATCTATAAAAGTGGTCTTTAACAAGGCAACGCATATTTTAATATATAAATAGGGGGTTGCCAACCTTGCATAGTTAGCACTAACAGGCAGCTTTCTGCACCTTGACAATAGCGATGTAGGCTAGAAGGCTAAAACAGTACTGTATCACCCATTGGTACAGACTATGAAGAAAGTAGCTTTATTACTTTACTGCTCGGTTGGATTTCTACTAAATGGGGATGGGAAGAAGACACAATACACACACATAGAGTCATAATCAACAGCTCTTCTGAAGACTTTGATCATCTGTAACGAAGGCGATAAAAACGTGATTTTCTTTTAATGGTAAAACACAAGCTTTCAGGCATAAATGCCCTTCCTCAGGTTACAACTGGGCAGGAAACAAAAGTGCCAATTTTATAAGCGGAAAAAGTAAGAGAAATTTACATGCTATGAAAAAGTAAAAAAGCAAGGGATTTACATATTTACAGGTGAATGGAGAATATTTTAAAAAACTATGGACATGAAAAATAGCCCATACCGCAAGGAAGACCAGAAGAATAAAAAGAGAAAAAGGAACGAAAGGACGCAAAGCATGAGAACACGGTAGAGCGGGATAAAAAAGCGGGATTTGATCATCTGTATTTGGTTCAAAGGGAATGAACCCTTTTACAGTAGGTAGCCCCCAGGTGACATTATGGAAAGTGGACGAACTTGAGGGTTTGATATGATAGTCAATCTACGTGCTGAAGATGGTACTATATGGTGCATTTGGATATACAATCAACAAACTTAATGGGGGGATTTAAGAACGGATATTCCACTTAAAAGACTAAGCTTTTTTCAGAGAGTAGCAAATACACACAATTTTGGCGTTGTAATAAATTTGAGAAATAGAAACCACCAACTCTGATTTAAGAGAGGAGATTCCTTTTTATTTGGATTTGGTCTTATGTGTTTATAATATATAATCCAAATTGTGCCTTATCAAATACAAGACCGTTAAAATGTACACATTTTGCATCTTAGGGTCAAATACAAAAGGGAATAACAGTACACCAAACAAAGTAGATGTTTTGATAAGGCACAATTTGGATTATAAATTAGAACTACGAGGTAATAAGACTATATCCAAATAAATAGTGTGTGACGTTTTGGTAACAGCTTTGTTACCATCATCAGACAAAAGACTCTACACCAGACAAAGGACAGCATGCTTTTAAATAGTTACTGTTATCAAGTTATCAAAGATAGCAGATAAGACAAAAATAGTTTTCTAAGAAAACCTAAGATTACCCGTCACACACTATTTATTTGGTCTTATTACCTTGGAGTAAAGTAGATGTTTTGTTACCATCGTCATCATCAAATAATTGTACTTGACCAGAGGACCGACCACAAATCTGCTCAATCTACTGTACATGCTCTTAAATCAGTTCAGTAGTTTGTTTGATTTACTATAAATTAGCTATTTCACATGTAACAAGCACTCTAGTAGAGTCAGTTCTAAATGACAAGGGGATAGTAAGCCAAAATTCTGCAGGAAATAAATTATCCGACTATTATTACAACATATAATTTAAGTGAAGATTTTAAAATAATTATTATACTTTTTCATCATTTGTGATAATGGGCTACTTTAGCTATGCATATTTAAAAAATTAAATAATAATACTGATTAAAAATTTAAAAGGATCTAATGATACACCCAACATATTATGCTGCTTGTCATAAGATAAGACCAAATGCTGTTTCAAAATTCATATAAACACTCATGGACAAAACTTAAGGAAGTTTCATATTTTGATGTCGTTGTTAGTCGATTTTTTTTTTGGAGGAGACAGAGGCAATTTTGTTCACACTTTGGTTATCTCGTGTGCCTTCAATAAAGGTCACTGTGTATCAAATATCTTTCAAAGTTAGTGTCTGAATCCCGATAGGCATGCTAAAAGGCTTTTGTGGAGTGGAAGAAGAAACCCCCGAACACATTCTGAACTCATGCCCAATGGTGTCAAACCTAAGACAGCAGAGCAAGATGGAAAGAACCTACCTGGGTCAAATAGTTTATAATAGGGAATGATATACGAAATTTAATAGGTTCTGCAGACTTTTTATTATAAATAGACAGCTTCATGCAGCTTGAGGAACTACACTATTATGCAACTTGATATACATCAATGTAAATAATTAATAAGTTACTTTAGAATATAACTCATTGTAAATAGCTCAACTTGATCAACTTTCTCTCTCCACGATACTAATTATTACAGATAACTTCATTAAATCAACTTCCATCATTGCTTAACATACTGTAAATAACTACCTTGCGATTTCATCTATTTGCTTATGTTGTTGCTTATTTGTTTAATGTATATGTTTATTTAATGCTCTTTTTCTTAATTATTTATTTTCTTTTTGATAATTCTGTTACCTACTCTACTACAATATGAATTATTGTAAATAGTTTCACGCGCAATTATTCAGATCAGATATAGCGTGTCTTGTTTGCAACTGGTAAATAAATAAATAAATAAAAGGTACAACTTCTTTAAGTTTTGTCTCCCCATGAGTGTAAATAAACTTTTTGGTCTTGTGAGTGTCATCCCTAACACAACCAGTACATAGGATATTCCCAACACCCAGAAGTTGATGTCTCCCCACTTACCCAGATGTCAGCCTTGGGGCCGTCGTACTTCACCCCCTCAAACAACTCCGGGGCAGCATAGGGAGGACTGCCGCACCAGGTAGAGAGAGGCTTGCCGGGCTCAAAGTGATTACTGAAGCCAAAGTCTGCGAGGACATCAGGACACCTCAGATGGGACAGTGGGAATAACTAACTCACTCACCGGCAATTTTGATGTTCATTCTGTCATCTAGAAGAAGGTTCTCAGCCTTGATGTCTCGATGCACAACGTGCTTCCGGTGGCAGTAATCTATCGCTGCTACAATCTGTTTGAACTTGTGCCGGGCCTCGTTCTCACTCATCTTTCCATGGGCTACTAGGTAATCTGGAACATCCCAATTAACATTATGATGTGTTAACCAAGTTTTGCTGTTATTAAAAGAAATTATCTTTTAATGTATGTAAGAATATAATCAATTTAGTGCTATTTATATTCCATCACGTTGGAAATTGCAGAAAATATTTTAAATACTCAACTTCTCTGCAAAAAGTTTCTTCTCTAATATTAAGGCACAATTTGGATTATAGATTATAAACAGAAGGTAATAAGACCATATCCATATTAATAAATAGTGTGTGACTTTTTGGTAACAACATTGTTACCATCTTCAGACAAAAAAACATTATGATATTTTTCCTCATTCAGTACTTTTGTCTGAAGATGGTAACAATGCTGTTACTGAAACATAACACCCTATTTATTTATTTGGTCTTATTTACCTTGTTGTATTGATGATAAGGCACAATTTGGATTATAGATTATAAACACAAGGTAATAAGACCAAATCCAAATAAATAAATAGTGTGTGACTTTTCTTAACAACGCTGTTACCGAAACATCACACATTATTTATTTATTTGGATTTGATATTATTACCTTGTGTTTATAATTCAATATCATTTGCTAGAGAGCTTTCGAGTTGAAGAGAACACAGATGTTTCTTCCAAATAAATACATTTCAAAATAAATATTTGTTAACAGCCCGCAACTGGACTCAAGCCTATCAGATTGGCACATGTTCAAGCACAATAGTGATGGTATCAGCTAGATATTTGGCATCAAAGTATCAGTGAATATTTGAAAAAATATATATAAAAGCAATATTCAAATCAAGTCTGATGGGCTGTGTGTGATAATATAGCTGTACAATTATTCTCATACAAGAACCCCAAAACTATAGTAGAAAAAAATATTGTTTTCGGCTGGTGTAATCTTACCTATGGTATAACGAAGTTTGACAATTATACCCCAAATGTTTCTTTTAAATGAAAAATCAAAATTTATTTTAAGGAGAAATAACGATTATTTCTAACCTTAGAGATGAAGTATGAAAGGATGAATTGTGAAGAGTAATGATGAACGGAAAAATAAAAGTGTCCAGGAATGGGATGGTTCTACAATCATATAAGCTGCATTATATTGTATTATAAATAACTTTATATAATATTTATGAACGGAAAAATATGTCCAGGGTAGCCTAGTGGACATGGCATCTGCCCCGGTAAGCAGAACACTGTGGGTTCGATTCCCATCCCTGGACACTTTTATTTTTCCGTTTATCATTACTCTTCACAATTCATCCTTTCATACTTCATCTCTAAGGTTAGAAATATTCGTTATTTCTCCTTAAAATAAATTTCGAATTAGAAATTATAATTATTTTGAAGAATTCCCTGCTCTCCCTCCTCTTTTATTAATTTTTACAAAGAAAGTACATTTTAAAAAACTTGTATATTACTTGTGAGTTAGAGCCAAATAAATTCTGGCCAAAGATGGTGGAGGAAGAGTAATGGGAAAGAAAGACATTTATCAAGTAAGGACAATAATTGATAGGTGGTCTGTGCTATTTTCAGTGCATCACCTAGCATCTCAATCCAATTTTTTACAGAATTTGGTTTTGTCGATTTATTTGAGTTTTTTTTTTTACCTCTTTTATATTATTTTTTAATCTTTTTTATTCATTAAGAACTCCATGGGCATTAGGGAAGGTTTTACTCTCTCATTTGCATTAGATATGTGAAACATTTTTTCCCCGTTAATATATGAATTAAATAATTTAGTGCTGTGTGTTCAAATCTTTAAACAATGTGTTTGGAACCTAACATTCCCTTTTTATAACAGGGTTATATCAAAATAGAATCTTAAGGTAACAAGACCAAATCCTTGGCATTGAAGGCAATGAAGCTGCTGATGCGCTAGCAAAAAAAAAAAAAAGGCACAAAAGAACCCTTGCCATGGAAAAATAAACTTAATTTTAAAGAAATATAGACAGTAGCCAAAACAAAAATAAACAAGAACTGGAGGATCCCACCTAAGCACAGTTGGTACAGTGGAGTGGACCCAGGAGGAGCTCTGAATATCGGAAATAGACAGCATCAAACAACACTAACAAGATTTAGAACAGGCCATCTCAAGCCATTGAATATAGAAAATAACAACAAAATCTTCACCATTTGTCCAAAATGTAGCTTGGCACCTGAAGCTCCAGAACACATTTTGGCTTTCATTAGATGCACTAAACAGGACCTTTGGGAGAGACCGCTGCTTATCATAAAACAGCTCGAGGAGCATGAATTCATGGAATTAGTGTAATCTTTACATAAGGAGATAAGAAACAACAACAACAAATCCAAATAAATAAATAGGGTGTTCATTTTTTCTCATTCAGAACCTTTGTATGATGATGATAAGGATGTTTTAACCGAAAAGCCACATAATATTTATTTATTTGGTGTTATTACCTTGTGTTTCTAATCTATAATTCAAATTGTGCCTATTCAACATAGAATCTTAGTCCCAAGTGATATTGTTATAGAGAAGTTCAAATGTATTACACAAATTACTAATTGGTTTTATATATTAACCCTATAGGATCCAAATTTTATTAATGTATCTTTTAATCTATTGCTTTTGTTGAACCAATATACATAGGTATATGAAATTGTGATAACACAATAGTAAAAGAGAACATATTAGCAGCAAATTCGTGCACCATGTAATAGGAAAGCATTAAAAAAATTGAAATTATTTTATTGATACATTTTTCTCTTCTTCTTCATTTTTATCTCCACTCAATCACACTAAGGTATCAAGCTTGTAAAGCTTGAGACTTTTGATGGTGTCTGCCGGGGAAAAGTAGAGCTCATCAATGAATGAGTCAATACAGTCAATAATGTGTTTTGGGGTTGCAGATTGAGAATTGCACTTTGAACATAGTGGGCAAACCTTACAACCATTCTGGAAAGTCATTGTCTGTAGATGACTAAACTTAAGTCTGAAAATCAAAAACTGTTGTTCTCTTGGAAGGACAGAACCGGTGCTTGTCCCTCATGCTCTGTATCAGTCATGTGCAGCATTAGATTTCCATTCCTGCAGGCATTGGGTTTTGATGGTACAGATGAGGTCTCTTTCATACATTTTTCTGAACATTTTATGATAGTTGGTGTTATTTTCATACTTTACAAATTGGTAACACCTGTCCATTTAGGGTTAAATGTGGTAAAAAAAGGTTGGAGAGAGCTGCCAATCTTACCAAAGATCTCTCCCCCGCTGGCATACTCTGTGACCAGGTAGATGGTCCTCTCAGTCTCCATCACCTACAGCAGCAGCAGGTGTGACTGAAGGAGCCATTCTGTGGGAGTGAGTTACCTGGTAGAGGGAGATGATGTGGGGATGCTGGAGGAGCTTCATTATCTGGATCTCTCTGAAGATCTTCTTGAGGTTGTCCTCATCCATCTGGGTCTTGTTGATGATCTTGATGGCCACCTGACAATCACACCTCTCTCATTGAGACAAACATTCCAAACATGTAGAAACAGGTAATACAATTAAGAAACAGACATCTGGTCAAGCGACTAAATGTTACTGCTTGGTTTGTACCATTTCTAGGACCAACCTTGTTCTGAGCTGCAATCTGCATCGGATACAACTGCTCAAAATACATACCTGATTGGATTTTATTTATTTTTATAAAGGTTTTTGGCTATTATTAGAGAATTAATATTAAAAAAAAAAAAAAAAAAACTTAATTTTATTTTTATTCCCATAAATGGCACAAACCATCAGAAATATTTGATTGAATGATCAGGAGATGTATTTTTTTACTCAAATTTATCTCCTGATATGTATATATATTGTAACAAAGTATTTATTAATTTTATTATATTTATTAACAGAGTGGTCATTTTTATGTTTATATTTTGCTACTCTGTAAATTTCCATCGTGGCTTATCTTTTGTTTACCATTCTTAGTTTGTTCTTGCCTGAAATAAATTATTGTCTCCTCCTGAAGTTTTTGTCTTCCCTAATTTTCCACGTGGCATTTTGGTGGAGATGCTGGGTAAGTTAGGGAAGTCAAACTGAAGACCGCCGAGAAGACCTTGAAGCCATGGGTGCTGTGATCTACATTTTCGGAGACTGACTCCAGGATTCCACCGCCGTGCTAAAGCCAAGACTTCCCTCGAAAATGACGATGTCCCTATAGACGATACGACGACAAAGCCGCTCTTCACGCCGCAAGAAAAAGGACGCAAAGGTACTAGGGACAAAGTTCCAAGACTTCGATGGAATCCTTGGCAGAAGCACGTCAGATCCATGTCAGTATCTACAATAATTGCTAACTGTGGATCACAGCTCCCATAGGGAAGAAGTATGTAACCAAGTATTTATTAATTTTATTATTTTTATTAACAGAGTGGTCATTTTTATGTTTATATTTTGCTACTCTGTAAATTTCCCTCGTGGCTTATCTTTTGTTTACCATTCTTAGTTTGTTCTTGCCTGAAATAAATTGTTGTCTCCTCCTGAAGTTTTTGTCTTCCCTAATTTTCCTTGTGGCAATATATATACAGTAGAACCTCCATGAGAGGACACTTGCGCTAGGGGACACCTCTTTACAAAGGACAGTTTTCATTTGCAAAATTAGCATTTTTACTATTTAGCAACTTTGCGGTAAGAGGACACCTCTCCCTAAAGGACACTTTAGCTTTGTAATTAGGTGTCCTTTACAGGGAGGTAGTTATACTGTATATACATAGCATATTCTATTTGTTACACATTTTATAAATTCCTAAATGAATATCAACTTTAATCAACAATATTTCAACACCAGGAAACACCTTTCTCTTAAGTGTTGAATTAAAGAAGCTTGTGTGTGCCTGTGTATGTTAAAAAAGTGGAGTATATGGGGATATGTGTGTGAGAAGAGCAAAAAAAAAAATAAAAAATTATCAATAATGACAGCAGTGGGTCCAGGTGTGCTGGTGTAAAAATAACATTTGATGAAAGTGTCATCACACCACTTACTTTCTCTCACACTAGAAAACTACAAAAGCTGGGTAAATATTTCTTTGTATATACTCAAAAGAACACATACTTATCGAAAAAAAACTTAAGGAAGTGGAAAGTCTTTGATGTCCCTTTCATCTATTTTTTTTCAAGGAGACAGAAGCAATTTTGTTCACACTTGGTTATCTTGTGTGTCTTCAATAAAGGACATAGTGTATCAAATATCTTTCAGTTATTTTTATGAATCCCAATATACATGCTAAAAAGGTACAGGCTTCCTTAAGTTTTGTCTATGATTGTATTTAAATGACATCTCTCTAAAGAATTTCCAGAGATATTTACATGAAAGTGAGAGTATTGTTTCAAAATTCTTGAAATTCTTCTATTTGCAAAAAAAAAAAAAAAGTTATAAAATAAAATTTTACCGCAAAGTTTCTTTGCATGAATATGCAAATTGCACTTTGAACAAATAATGTTTCACATGCAATTTTATTTTATAATTTTAAACAGACTATATTGTGGGATTTTATAAATATCATTAAAAAAAGGAGTTATGTAAAACAGTCCCCACAAAAGACAAGTTGACAATTTTTATAAATGTAGATACAGTCGATTTATTCCAAATAACCCTTCTAATTGAATGCCCACCTCTCTATCTGTCCTGCGGTAGTGTGTGCCACCAATGATCACATTGAATATATAATATGTATATTGATTAATTATTTTATTTACTGTAGAACCTCCCTTTAGCGGTCACCCCGCTAGCGGACACCTCTCCACAAAGGACAGTTTTCATTTGCAAAATTACCATTTTTACATTGATATGGCACAATTTGGATTATAGATTATAAAATAAGGTAATAAGACCAAATCCAAATAAATAAATAGTGTGTGACGTTTCGGTAACAGCATTGTTACCATCTTCAGACAAAAGTACTGAATGAGAAATTTTACCACAGCATGTTTTAACAGCATGTTGATGAGAGTAACTATTTAAAACATGCTGTGGTCAAATTTCTCATTCAGTACTTTTGTCTGAAGATGGTAACAACGCTGTTACCAAAACGTCACACACTACTTATTTATTTGGATTTGGTCTTATTACTTTGTTTTATACCATTTTTACGATTTAATAACTCTCTGGTAAGAGGACACCTCTCCCTAAAAGACAAGGTTCTGCAATTAGATGTCCTTTACAGGGAGGTTCTACTGTATATATTTGCATCTATTTATTCATATATTTATCATTATTTA